GGACGTTGCTGAGCTCCTCTCGCTTCCTCTTGGCACGATGTGTGTGTGCCCACCCTTTTCTTGATGAACTTGAGTGCCCACTTGTCCTTGGAGACCTTGAGCAGCTCTATGGCCCGGCGCTCCTAAGGCACAAAGCCACACACCTCCCGGATCATGTCCCACACGAACTTGGTGTGCTTGGTGAGACGCCCACGGCCGGTGGCAGCTCATGTTGTTGGTTACTCTGTGGCCCTTGTTGAGGCCAATGGCCATCGAGGAGCACACAGCCATGGCTGCTTTTCTTCAATGGCTGCTGCAGCGGAAGGAAGGAGCCGCAAAGAACTCTGAGCTGTTTTTGCTTTTTTAATATACCAAAAACAAAACCCAACTCAACTGTCACTGAGTTGACTGACTCACAGCGACTCTGTGAAGGGGTTCCAAGGCTGTAAGTCTTTCGGGGAGCAGAAAGCCTCATCCAGCTGGTGGGTCTGAACTAGTGTGTACTCTACAGTGCTACCCTTTTATCAAGGAGCTCTGGTAGCGTAGTCGTTACGAATTGGGCTGTGAACCGCAAAGTCAGCAGTCCAAAACTACCAGCTGCTCCGCGGGAGAAAGATGAGGCTTTCTGCTCCCTTGAAGATTTAAAGCCTGGAAACCCTGTTCAGGCTCGCTATGGGTCGGAACTGACTCAACAGCACTTAACAACACCACCCTTTTATCAAGCCTTAAACAAGACAAATACAAACAACGGAAAGGCAAACATACAAATGAGCATGTACAGTGTTGCTGTTGTTAAATGTAGTCAAGTTGGTTCTGACTCATAGTGACCATGGATCGGGTTTCCAAGGAACGGCTGGTGGGTTTGAACTCCTGAGCCATAGAAAAAAACTGACGTCATCCACAAACACCTGCCAGCCCAACCCGCCCATGTCCCACTTGAAGCCAGAAGCTGTGTATTACGAGGATGGGGCCTGGACTGGGGTTGCATTCCAGAACTACACCCACTGGGCAGATGCCAGGCAGGAGAAGGACAGTTAGGAGAACTTCATGTGCCACGCTAACGTCATCTGGTACCTTATGTGCAGAGCCCAGCAGTTTCCTCCCAAAGAGTGACTCCGTCTTTCCCTCAACAACGGCAGTATCAGCCATCTGGTGATCCCACCCAATGACAAGGTCACACTAAGGACCCTGGGGGACACAGGGTTCATGTCTCCAAACAAGATCACCCGGTTGTGAGGGCCTCACCACTGGTGTCCCTAGGCAGCCACCAGATTCTCCTCTGTTATCTGGATGCCCCAGCATGTGGGTATCTTTCCTCCTCCCTACATGGGTTGAGTTTCAGCTTCATTTCCCTGCAGAACATAAGAACTGTCCGAAGGGCTGGCTGCATTTCAGTATATGTCTCTCGTCCAGAATGAACAGGAACGTGACTTCCAACAGCTGTCCAGGCTTTCCCCTTCCTGAGATGCTCTGGGTGTGAGGTGGACCAGCTTCCCCAGTAGAAGCTGGCCTGCCTGCAGTTCACACGAGACCTCACAGAGGATGGGCCTACGCTCAACCTGCACTGAGGGGTCTTTCATTGTGACATTGGCTGTAGACCACCCCCTCTGAGGTGCACAGGGATGGCTGGAGTCTCAGTCACACACAGAACAGTGGAAGCCCATATTCTCCTTCATATCTCATTTACTTCGTAATTTCTCCTGGTTTTGTAACTTGTCAATACTTTCCTCATCTAGCTTCCTGCTTTAAAAGCCAATTTCTCGCTGTTGAGCCACAGATCCCTGAGATAGATGGGAGGGTCTGAACTTACCCTGTTTTGTTAGACACTTAAAGGTACGAAGACCCATGCACTGACCAGGACACCTCTGCCGGGCTGTGGGGGTGGCGCAATAGAGGGCTCATGATGATATGCCCGTGCTAACCGCTGGCTTAGTGACTGACAAGAAAATCATGTGCAGTGAACGCCATTTTCATCTCCTAGACTTCAGGCTTAGCCTTGTCAGTTTGCCTCTGAGTACTGCTAATCTCTCATGATTATTTAAAGTATTCAGACATGAAGTGTCCCGAATATTCTGTCAATTTAGAAAATCTACAATTGGGCAAATATTCGTCTAGCTGATGTCATGGAGTAGTTCTTGTTAAATTCAGTCCAGTTAGTCTCAACTCATGGTGACCCTACGCACAACGGGATCAGACAATAGTAATCCATGGGGTTTCCACCAGCTGATTGTCAGAAATGGTACTAGGGTAAATGAAAAAAAAAAAAAGATTGCCATTAGGATTCCAATTTATATACAATACACACAGGTTTATTAAAAAAACAAACAAACAGGTTTATACATGTCTGCTGTCAATGGATAGTTGTCAACAAGCTCTCTCAATAATGCCCTTGTCTGCACCTTATTGTTGCTGTTGTTGTGAAGTGCCATTGAGTCAGTTCCGACCTATCACAACCCTGTGTAGGGTTTCCGAGGAGCAACTGCTAAGTTTGAACTGCCAACCTTGCAATTCAAATGGCTTTGCAGTCTGGCACATTAACTCACAGCGCCATGCCGGGTCTCGTTCACCTTATTAGGGGGCCTTTAAAAAAACAAGGCCCTATCACAACAGCTGCATCTGAGGAGATCTGCAGAGAGGTGAACTCAGAAGGCTCTGACTACTGGTTTTTGAGATTCCACAGGGGTAATCTCAGAGATTTTCTGTAAGAATGGGATGATCATGGGGACTTATTAGGAAGAAATTTTAAGAAACTTGAAAACTGCAATGGTGAGGAAAAGGCCAGGAAAATTGGCCAAAAATTTTTTTTTTGCCCATCACAATGCATCTACTTATTTTTTGAGAGTAACAGGGTTGTCCTCTTGAGAATTTCATTGGAAAACCTTACCCCATACACCCTACAGTACTGATCTTGTCCCTTTAGACTTCCTTTTATTCCCAAACCTCAAGGAACACAATTTGAGTCTCTGGAGGATACCAAAACTGCTGTTTCAAAGCACACAGAATTCTTTGTGTTAAAGAGCACAGACTTCCATGGGTTAAAGAGATGAAAATACCACGTGCAGAAGTGTACAGACCCTGATGGAGGATACATCAACACACACCAACTTCACATCTTGATATTTCTGTTGAATAAAGGGGTCTACGATTTTGTAGCAATACTTTCTGACTTCCCTTTGTAGACTGCCAGTCCGTTCTTTCTAGTCTGTCTTCATCTGGAAGCTCTGCTGAAACATCAGCATTGCACCAACATGCAAGCCTGTTGGCTGGACGTGAGGCGCAGGTCTCCCACGTGGTAAATGAGAATTCTACCACTGCACCACCACTACTTTCCATGGAACAGTTACTGGTTATAGTTGAGCCAACTCTGAATCATGGTAAGTAACCTCATGTGTTTCAGAGCAGAATTGCGCTCCTTAAGTTTTCAGTGGTGGATTTTTCAGAAGCAGATCACCAAGCCATCTGTCCGAGGTACCGCTGGGTGAACTTGAACCACCAACCTTTTGGTTAATAGCTGGGTGCTCCATCATTTGCACCACTCAGGGATGCCATGGTTAAATCACCTAGCCTTGATGAAGGCACATTACAGTTCATAATGTAAGTTAATGATCTTACATATATGATGTAATCTAGTATAATGCAACATGTCGATCAGTTGAGGTGATAGCAGTATAGGGTGGGCCCGAATCACTTTTGAGTTAGGTAAAGATCATCATCAGAGCTCCTTTCTTTAGGGAAAGAGTCTTTGCCACATCTCTGCCTCCTTACCTCACATTAGCTCCTCAACTGGATCCAATGATTTCTATCACGGCTAAAGCATGTTGTAGTCAAGGTCATCAACAAGCCTCCATACAGTCAAAGCCAATGATAACTTGCTGTCCTTACCTCCTCCACCCACATGTATCTGTCCATCTGTGCTGCTCTGTGGCACCTGACAGAGTGGACTGCTGTTTTCTACTTGAAAAGCTTTCTTTCTAGGCTCCACAACAGCAAAATCTACCAGTTTTCCTTTTACCTCAAGACAATCATTCTCAACCTTCTTTCGTTTCAACTCAACCTCTAGCACCCCTGGACTCAATCTTCAGACCTCTCCTCTGCTCAATGGATAACATCATTGAGTGCATGGGTCCACCCCCTTCCCCTCTGCTGATGGCCACCAAGACCTTCATCTCCAGGGCAATCGCTAAACCAAGAAACTAACACCGCCACCAACAACTCAAAGTTACCTTCCGCCCCAAAACTCCACCCTCTCTTTCTGCAGAATCCTTCTATAGTTGTAAGTCACATCATTCTGTCAAACTCACAACCATCTCTGGAGGGTCCTAAATGACTTGATTCCTGACCCAAAACACATCCCATAACAGCTGGTGGGTCTATCATCGGTGTATCACTTCACCATTGTCCTGAGCACAATTCCCGATTCCCAGGAACTGCTAACCTAAGTGTGTGTATCATATAGCAGCTGGCCATAAGCTATGGGCACTGACCCACTGGCCATAGGGGTCCAGCAGCCACTATTGCAGTTGACTTTGCTGTCTCTTCTCTGTGAGGGAGGCGCGCTGCTCCATCCAAGGTCGACATGTGTGTCACGTTTTACTGGCAACCCCAGACCCTGACATGACAATAAACACCACGACAGCAGAGCCTTGATTATCCTCTAACCTAGACTTGGGCCTGGACACAATCAGATGTGCACAAAGTACGCTGCTGCTGATGTCTCATTAAGACTTTTGGGGGTGGACAGGTGGGGGGAAGTAGGACTGGACAGGCACACATCTGGGCCAGAGCTTCAAGCCCTCCTGGACCCTCATGGCTGGGTTAGTAGCCCTTCCTGTTTCCAACTACCTTGTTCTTCCCCACCAGACTACCTAATTATAAAAGGTCTACTTCATAATTTACTTGTCACTGGTTATTAGAAAGCAGAGGCCACACTGTCCCTACCCACCACCTTATTCCAGAGTCGTAGTGGGGACTGGCAAGAAGCACAAACCAATTATGATATACTGAACACGACAGTCACTCACCCAGAAGACGATGTTGTAACTGAACAGAAGGTACTTGTACCAGCAGCTGACCTCAGCATTAGCGTATCTGTAATAGTGCATCTTCTAAAAAGGAGGATCTGCAAAGAAACAAGGGAGTGATGAGATGTAGGGTCGGTCTGAAAATAGTCCCAAAGCCTGCTCCTTGAGGAAAGAGCCAAGGTGAGGCGCACCAACAGACTCTAGAAATCTGCGTCCATTTAGTCCAAGCATAGGTTGACTATGAATGCCAGCTACAAGTTCAGCAATAGTCAGGCAAAGACAACTTTCCCAAAACAACTAAAAGAAAGAAAGAGCAGGGATTCACTAAAGAATGGAGAATATCTTCTGAGAGCCAGAAATTCTGCTTGAAATCTTCCCAAATGCTTTTATTATCTCATAACCTGCCCACTGGGTATTGATTTCTCCATATCACACTTGAAAAAACTAGCGTCCTAAAAGGTCATGTGACTTATCTAAGGACAAAGTGACAAGAACAGAACCTAGATATGGAAGCAAGTATTAGACTCCACAGTCCATACGATTTTCCAGTCATCATTACATTGTAGTTGTTGTGAAGTGCCCATGAGTCGGTTCTGACCCATAGCAACCCTGTATAGGGTTTCTGAGAAGCAGCTGGTGAGCTTGAACTGCTGCCCTTGTAGTTCAAATGGCTTTGCAGTCTGGCGCATTAACCCACAGCACCACACCAGGACTCCATTACATAGCATTCAAGAAAAGTTGAGCGAGCCAGTTGATGTAATGGGGCCATGAACATGAATGAAGACCACATTTAGGAAGAGACTCAGGCATCATCTAGCTGTGGCCATTAAACCAAAGTCAGAATTAAAGCTATTGATTCATCCTGATGCGGCTGTAGGAGCAGCGCTGGACTGCTAACCACAAGGTCTGTGGTTCAAACCCACCAGGTGCTCCTCAGAAACCCTATACAGGGTCGCTGAGAGTCAGAAACCACCCAATGGCACTTAACCACCATGACAACAAGAACATTCATCCGTGTAACATTTTCTGAGCAAACTTTCCAAACTCAGCCCTGGGCTGCATACACAGAGGGAAAGGGCAAAGAAGGCTGAGTAATACCAACCAGTACATTCAGTTAGCACCAATATCATTTACCTTGAAGCACACACTCAAGAATTTTAGGACCCTAAAACCAGGTGGAAGGCAGTGGGGGTGGAGGACTAGAATGTCCATCTTCTGTGTGGGAGTCCCAGGTTCAAGGTTCAGTTTCAGGGCAGGGCACATCATGCACAGCCATAACGCAATGGCAGTGGGGACTTGTGTTTCACTACGATGTGGGGCAGGTTTCAGGGAAGATGCTAGACTAAGAGACTACGAAGAAGAGCCTGCCAATTTACTATCAAAGATCAGCCAATTAGAACTCTATTTGCCAAATGGTACGATCCTGGATCACCACCTCAATGGCAGCTAACAGTAACAATATAGATGGATAAATATTCATAAATTACCATGCCAGGAGAGAAGACTCTTCACAAGCTACTTTGTGAATTATCAGAGAATTAACTTATCAGAGAAATTTACTTCCAAGACTTCAAACTGTCTCAAGTTCAAGAACTTACTAATAATAAAGCGTTTACTTTGTAAATAAGAGGCATATGTTTGTTGAAAAAGCAACTTCTCAAAACAGAGGGAAGTGTGAAGGCAGCTGGCTAACAATCTGAGGAGAATTAAAAGAGAAACAATTGGCTTTAAGTATTTCAAGGACATGCCCATACGTGAGCACATGCTGAACAGGGCATTTTAGACCAGTCTTCTCCTTCACTTCTGAAGCACGAAGGAAAATTAACCCAAACAAAAATATTACCACATAAAACAGATTTAAAAGTTTTACGTTTCCCATGTAATAAAAACTAGTATTAAAATACAGAAAGTAAAATGGTACGTTATCTGCAGTTGCAGGAACTATGACAAGGGTAAATTCTACAACATATAAAGATTCATACTTAAAAAGTTTTGGGTTTACACAAATGGACAGAGGATATGAAAATATGCAGAAAAGGAAGAGCAATACAAATAACACGTGGGAAAATGTTCAAATAACACGCAGAAAAAATTAAAGGCAACCCAAAGATACGAATTCATTGTGTTTTAACAAAACCACTGTTGCTGGCAGGCCGTATCTCAGGTAAAATCATTTGAAAAACAACACAGGTACAGACATTTAAAACCATAAAAATTGTTGTACTCTTAATTCAATACTGTTGTTACAGTGCCGTCAAGTCAGTTCTGACTCACAGCCACCCATTGCAGGGTTTCCAAGGAGCCTTAAACTGCCAACCTGTGGTTCACAGTCCAGGGCTGATTCTATAGTGCTACACCAGGAGTCCTAATTCAATAGTCTTAAGACTAAGATGAACTTGCCTAAAGAAAATCAGCCAACAGAGGGGGAAAAAACAGTCAAGTGCTGCCAAAGGCAAGTTTTACACCTGCAGCTCTGAGGAAGAAATGCTTGGTGTTCTGCTGGTAAAAAGCTTTTAGCCTAGAAAACCCCACTGTTGTTGCTGAGTGCTGCAGCCATCACAGTGACCCTGTATAGGCTTTCAGGGCAGCGACTAGTGGGATTCGGTTAGCAGTTCAGTGCTTATCCTATAGCGCCACACCAGAACTCCTGAAAAACCACTGGGCATTTCTAATGGTCACATGGGTAGTTATGTGTAGATAACTCAATGTCACCTAACAAAAACAACATGAAATGTGGACGGCATGGCTTGAAATTACGAAACAATTTGTAAGCATATGATTAAAGAGCAAAATCATATATGTTGCTTCTGCTGCTGCTGTTGTTAAGAACCGTCAAGTAAGTTCCCACCCATGTTGTTGTTGTTGTCAGGTGCCATCGAGTCGGAACCGACTCATAGCAACCCCATGTACAGCAGAACGAAACAATGTCCAATCCTGGGCCAACCTCACTACTGCTGCCACACTTGAGTCCATCAATGATGTCACCTGGCTGATCCATCTCGTTGGGGGTCTTCCCCTTTTTTTCTGACCCTCCACCTTACCCAGCATGACATCCTTCTCCAGCGACTGTTCCCTCCGGACAATATGTCCAAAGTAGGAGAGATGAAGCTTACACATCTTGGCCTCTAAGGAGCACTCCGGCTGTACTTCTTCCAAAACAGATCTATTGGTTCTTTTGGCAGTCCATGGCACTTTCAATATTCTCCTCCAACACCACAACTCAAACGCATCAATTGTTCTACGATCTTCCTTATTCACATCCATATGAGGCTACTGAAAATACCATGGCTTGGGTCAGGTGCACTTTAGTCCTCAAGCTGACATCTCTGCTCTTCAATACTTTAAAAAGTTCCTGGGCAGATTTGCCCAATGCAATACGTCATCTGATCTCCTGACTGCTGGTTCCGCGAGTGTTGATAGTTGATCCAAGAAGAATGAAGTAAGTCCTTGACAACTTCAATCTTTTCTCCACTGGTAAGAATGTTGTTTATTGGTCCAGTGGAGAGGATTTTTGTTTTCTTGACATTGAGATGCAATCCATACCGAAGGCTGTGCTCTTTGATCTTCATAAGTAAATGTTTTAAGTCCTCTTCACTTTCAGCAAGCAAGGTTGTATCGTCGGCATATCGCAGGTTGTTAATGAGTCTTCCTCTAATCCTGACGCCACATTTTTCTTTATAGAACCCACCCACAGCAACCCTGTATAGGGTTTCCAAGGAGCACCTGGTGAGCTTGAACCACTGACCTTGTGGTTCAAACTGACTTTGCAGTCCAGCTCATTAACCCACAGCGCCACCCTAGGACTGTTGGTTACGGTTAGGTGCTGTCCACTCAGCTCTGGCTCACTGTCACCCTATGCAAAACCCAATGCAAAACCCTCTGGCTCACTGTCACCCAACAAAACACTGCCCTGGTTCCGTATCCTCCTCATATGGTTGCTATGTTTGAGCCCATTGTAGCAGCCACATCTCACTAAGGATTTCCTCTTTCACTGACCCTCTACTTTACCAAATACAATACCCTTCTCCAGGGATAGGTCCCTGCTGATAACATGCTCAAAGTAAGATTTGACGTCTTCCGTCTTCCCATCCTCGCTTGTAAAAAGCAATCTGGCCAAGGAAGATTTGTTCATTCTTTTGGCAATCTATGCTATAGTGCACATTCTTGGCCAACACATAATTCAAATGCATAATTCTCCAGTTTTCATTGTCCAGTTTTCACATGCTTGAACATGCAAAAGCTTGGGTTCAAGCACACTTAAGTCCTCAAAGCAGCATCTTGCTTCTAAAACTTTAATAGTTTTTTTTGCAGAAGACTTGTCCAATGCAAAATGTTTGATTTCTGGACTGCTACAACCATGGGCTTTGATTGTGGATCCAAGTAAAATGAAATCCATGATAACGTCGATCTTTTCTCTGTTTACCATGATGTTTTATTGATTTAGTTATGATTTTTGTTTTCTTTACAATTATGAGGCTGGCATAGGACAAGGGAGTGTTTCATTCTGCTGTGCATGGGTCGATAGGAGTCAGAACTGACTCTATGGCACCTAAAATAACAGTTTCCCCTTGTTCTAGTGGAGCAACTGCCTCTTGGTTTATATTAACAGGTTCTGCATAGTACAATTTGTTGTTACATGCCGTTGACTCGGTTCCGACCCATAGTTACCCTGTGTAGGGTATCCGAGGAGTGGTTAGTGAGCTTGAACTGCCGACATTGCAATTCAAGCTGACTTTGCAGTCTAGTGTATTAACCCACAATACCACACCAGGACTCCTAAGTACACTTTATTGTTCTGGTATACCCATTCTTCACAATGTTATCCATGCTTTATTATGATTCACACAGTTGAAGGTCTTTGCAGAGTTAATTCAACCAAACAAACATCTTTCTGGTATTCTCTGCTTTTAACAAAGATCCATATGATCTTAGTAACAAAGGTATACAGCGGCATGAAAATCATTGTGTCAGATAATAGGATTAAGAGTGATTTTCCCAGGGAAACACTTAGATAGGTTTACATGGGCTATATGGGTCAGAGATAAATAATGATGCTCAATCTTGCAACAACAGGGCTCTGT